CACTTTCTCTCAGTACCTATATGTAAAGTAATAGAACTATCAAACATCTGGTTAGTTCCATATTGATGAATTTCGTTTGTACAGAATATTTCATCACTGCCTCTTTATATTAGTACATTTCAGGAGTATTAGTGTTAGGTTAGGTAAATGGTGCCAAATTAGTGTAATGTTTATTTTTGTCAGTATTGTTATGATTTTATTAGTATTTTTTATTATGTTTTATATTATGTTTTTTTTTGTATTTCTTGTATTATTTTATTTTATTTCTTCCTTACAGTTGATTTGATGTTTTTTTTTTTTTTTTTTTTTTACTTTGTTTTGTCTAATGATTTTATTTTATAGTTACTTTTTTTTTCTTTTCTTTTCTGTTGTTTTTTGAGGGAATAGTTCCTGATTAAGGGAGACACGATGAACTGCCTCATCGTGAAATTGGTCCCACACAGTCATGCTTTTGAACGCTTTGCAATTAGATCGTCTTTTTGATGTGTAAAAATTGTATTAAGTTAAGTAAGGTCCAGATTGGATAAATTGTTTGGTTCTGGTAAAAGTCCTAACTGCCGGTTGGGTTCCGTTGACTTGCATGTGGATATTCATCAGATTGCGGTCGACAGGTGAAGGACAGGCAAAACTGGTCAATCCCTACCGTCTCGTATGGTACCAGAACCAGACAAGTTATCGTGGACTACCTATTTTTATTTTATTTTTTTCTCTCTTACTTCATAGTTAGAATTAGAGAAAAATAAATCTTGTCTTCTCTCTGTTGTGAATTACAGAACTAAGAATGGGATACCCACACTTCAGGTTCTCAATATGGCAAACTCTTAAAATTTTGGAGACATCTTCCAAAGTTATTGTTATCGTTAAAAATCTCCCTCATCCAGCCAGATAAAGACTTTAATGCCACAAATATAAATAAAATACTGGTCTGTGGGTGTCATCATCTAGCTAAAACATTGAAATTTAAATGTGTTTTTTATTAACTGTAGCGTTGCCTGTGTGATTGTAATTCTTTGTGTATTACCGAGACAATGAAGTCTAGCCGCTGAAAACAATGGGTGCTAAAGTAGTGCTAAACTTAATGTTAGAAGAAAAAATACTAACCATTTATGTTAGGTCAAAATTTTTGATTTATACAAATAAAATATAAAAAAAAGCAAAACAACAAAAAAAAGTCAGTTCAATGTTGTTGATTCCAGACAAGATGTAATTGCTACTGGTTTGAGTACAAGAGGGTTTGGTTCCATTTTCCAAGGATTGCTTACTACTGCATTTATCTCTGTGTATTTTTATCATGACTGATTTTTTTTTTTTTTCTTTTTTTTTCTCTCTGTCTAGCTATTACCTACTTTTGTATTTCATTTTCACATTTTATTGTTTCCTCTTTCTTATTGTGTTTCCTCTTTCAATCACTTTCTTTCTCTCTTTCTGACCTTTCTATTTCTCTTTTCGTTCCCTTTCCTCTTCCCCGCTTTCTCCCTTTCTCCCTCCTCCTCTCTCTCTTTTCTCTTTGTACTTTCTATCAATCAATACCATTTTAGATAATGGTAATGATAACAGTCATGTTGTTATCGTCATGTATATATGCAATCTCCTTTCTTCCTAATATTTCAGTATTCTTGACAATGTCATTTGTGTTCGCAAATTATGTTTTCATCTTTATCCTTCATTCGTAGTTTTAAGTAGAGAGAAGCCCCCAATTACAATCAAGCAGTCACAAAGAAAGAAGTTTATTTTACAGAATTAATTACATAAAAAAGAGTATTTTCTTTTCCTTTTTTACAATAAAAAATATGCAGTAATTTCACCCCATAAAAGAGTAACAAAAAATGCAGTGGCAAGAGACGTTGCAAAACCCTACAGAAGGTTCGGTGATTCGTAGGGAAGAGAGAGTAACGGATGTATACAAAGTGCCTTTTCTTGACGACTGAAAATGTAGATATTTTTAATGTACTAGTAGCCAGTATTAAACAGGTAATTCAGTCGTGTAGGAGTCGTCTTTTTTTTTTTTTTTTTCCTCCTCCTTCGTCTTTTTATCTCTTTCCTTCATGCCTTATCTTTTGGAGGCTCATGTTTTTATTTTTTATTTGTTTTATTGGGGAATACCATCACTGAACGAAAAATGGTAAAATTGCTTTTAATATATGATTTTAGTGACTTGACAAATGCCATCATTTCAGAAAAGATACTAAATTGTTAACTTTTTTTTCTTTCAAATATTTGTAAGAATCAGTGTCTCTTTCTTTGTTTTCATTTCTCTTAGCAAGTGGGATTACGAGCTGATAAGAATGTAAATTAGATTCACTCTGCAGATCAGCTTTCGTAATGTTTATAACTGGATGTGTTTTTATAAAGCTTTAAATGTATGTGAAAGTATATTTGATACATTTTTTTTCTTTTCTTTTTTTTTTAGTATTTGTTATTTAAATTCTTGTCAGAATTGTGGATTGCATTTACAATTTCATCTCAAGCCTGATGATCATTATGCAACATTTATAATGATTTTGTAGTGGTAATGATGTATGACGTATTCTTTTTTTAGAAAAGAAGATATGGACTTAATATGACCAAGCTTAAGAATCAAAACTTTTGCCTCTTATGTACACTGGATTTTGAAGTTTAATTAACAATGATAATGTAATAATCTAGATGCAATAAACTCGAGAAACTTATGTGTGTGTGTTTGTGGATTTGTTTTTCTCCTGTGGGATACCTCAGATGCATTGAAGTAATTTCTGAAAGGTTTATTTTGATCTTTTTTGGGTGTATGAAAGGGTTTTCATTGCAATTTTTCATTTTACTTAAATGTTTCCATTATTTTTGTTGTTAGGCTGTTGGATGGTAATATGCTAGAAACCTGAAAGCTCGGCTGATAATCAAAATTCCAAGAAGGGCAAGTGCTTTGAGAAAAAATACAAATTTATCAAAATATATTACAAATTCTCGTCAGACAAGACATCGGACTATGAAACCCACTGCCGAACCTAATACAACGGAAACCTTAACACAGTCCTCCCTCAATCCCTTGCGTGTTGTTGCCATGGGGGTGGGGGCCTTAGAAGAGAGAGGGACTGAAGATCAATGTACATGATCACCCCTGCTTAGGACCTCGGATAATTTTGCATGGTCTCTTCTTCTACCCCTTTCCTCTTCCTTCTCTTCTTCATCCCCTTCTGTCGAGATCCCAAATTGTGAGAGCCATGCTGAAAGGATGAAAGAACTCGCTTTGTGTCGCTTTGTGTCAGTCCTAAACACCTTCAGAGACAGACAGACCAGACAGACAGAGACAGACATAGACATAGTAAAGAAAAAAACATCAGCTGTTGAGGCAGAATTTCTTTTTAATAAAGAAAAATAAACAATAGTGGGACCGAGATAATGCGAGATCTGCCGGAAACAACGAAACGAATAGCTCATTAGCCAAAGAAGGTTCAATTTAGTTAAAGAGTGTATTTGTGGCCAAAGAAGCGAGCTCAAAATGCACTGAAAGTTGGACCACTGAAATGAAAAGGTTTATGACCGCGCAAGAAACGAAAGAAAAGAACGATAATGGGGGAACAAATAATAATAAGGAAAATGCATGCTAGGAGGATCGTTAAAAGAAGAGAGATTGAAAGATTCAGAGACAGAGAGAAACAGACACAGAGTTGAAGAGACGGTACAAGTACGCAAGAAGGAGAGAAGGAAATGGCACAGGAAAACAAGTAATAACCATGGAAATGCTAAAGCGAAGGAGAGGAAATGAAAGGAGTGGCGAAGAAACTAGGAGACCATGTTTGAGGAAGGAACAAGTACAATAATAATACAAATAATATGATAGTATGATATAACGCAATATGAAAATTACATAATAAAGAAAACAAATATGAATATAACATAATAAAGAAAATATAATATAATATGAAAGCCGTTGTGAAGAAGCTACACTTAGGAGACCATGGTTGAGAATGGGACAAATACAATAATAAATAATAACAAAATAAAAAGAGAAAGAAACAAGTACATAGAAAAGAAAAGAAAAAGCTGGCTCATTTAAAACGACGAATTTGTGCGATATTTGGAAAAAGAAACTAAAGCATAGAGAATTTTCTTATCTTTTTTTTTTTTTTTTTTTTTTTTTTTTTTTTTTTTTTTTAATCTAAAGCTTCGTTCGTTAATTCCAAAAATATTTCGGTTT